GCTGGTTATACAGGGACCCTTCACCCGGCACAGGGATGCAGCCACCTCTGGGGGTGGGGCGCAGGAGCTGTTCATACAGGGACCCCTCTCCCAGCACAGATATGCAGGTTCAAGAGCAATGTATACGAGAGGGGAGAGCGCCCCCTCCTGAGCCCCCACCCCGCTCCCTGCAGCACCGCGCTGAGGCCAGGCCTGAGGGCCCCTCGGAGGTCCCTTACCTGTGCCAGGCCGGCCCATGATGATCTCTTTCTTGGGGGCCGGTGGCCCGGAGTAGTCGTTGGGCACAATGACGGGCAGCAGGGCGGCCGGGGAGGGGTGGAAGGCGACCGGCTGGAAGGGCGAGGAGACGCTGAAGACGGGGGGCGCCTGCTCCGGGGCCGGGACGGCGCTGGGCTGGCTGCAGGGCAGTGCCCGCCCCATATTGATGGGCACCGGCACCTGCAGCTGTTCTTTGGTGCCCACCTTGCCCAGCCGGGGGCTGCCCGCCCGCCCGTCCCGCGGCTTCTCTGTGAACTTGGAGGGCAGCGGCACGTCGGGGTTGCGGACGATGACGGGCGAGTCCCGCTGCACAGCCGGCACCCGGCGCACCGTGGGGCTGGGGTCGGAGGTCAGCCCGGTTGGCGGGGAGAGCAGCAGCAGCGGCGAAGCCTGCTGGGAGCGGGAGGAGAAGGGCCCAGGGCCGGGGGGCGAGACGGCCCGGAAGCCGGCGGGCGTGGAGGGGGTGGGGGTGTGGGAGACCGACTCCACCCCCGAGTCCAGGCTGTCGCTCTTCTGGAAGTCGGCGCCCCCACCCGGCCCGCCGTGGGGCGCCTCCGCCTTGCGCTTGCTGGGGCTCATGGGCACGGTGAAAGTCAGGTTGGTCTGGAAGGTGGGCACGATGCCCGAGGAGTGCCGCTCCCGGTGCGGGGCGTGGTGTAGCATCTCGGGGCTCAGCACGCCGCCCCCCGCCCCTTTGGGCGTGCTGGCGCTGACGTGGCGGCTGCGGGCGGCCGCCCGCTGGATGACGGGCGAGGCGTTGATGGGGCTGAAGTTGGCGGGCCGGAAGCCGAAGAGGGGCGAGGGGGACGGCGAGGGGGCGGGCGAGAACGGCGACTGGGTGGAGACGGGCGAGAAGGACGGGGTGCCCGAGCGCGAGCTGCCCAGCGACACTAGCATGACGGCCGCCTCGCACTCGTCGAACTCGAAGCGGGACAGGTCGGCCGGCGCCACCAGGCGGGGGCGGGAGTCGCCGCGGGCGCTGCTGGCCTCGCTGTCGCGGGACGTCTCATCCCAGTCGAACTCGGCGCTGCCCTCCCGCAGCCCGCTGGCCCGGCCCTCCGACAGGCTCTCCAGCTCCTTGGTGCGCATGGAGAGGTGGCGGGAGCAGTAGCCGCGCCGCTGCGACTCCTTCATGCAGCCCTCGCGGGAGCAGAGCCGGCGCCACTGCTTCCCGTTGAACTTCTTGCGGATGCCGTTGGGGGTGCAGACCACGTCCCCCTTCTTGTACTTCTGCTGGGCGGCCGTCAGGGGCGTGCGGGAGCGCGCCGAGCCCGGAGTGCTGCACTTCTCCACCGACACCACGCTGCTGCTGCGGCTGCCGCCTGCCTCGGGGCTCAGCAGCGGGGAGGCCTGCTCCGGCAGGCGGGCAAAGGCCGGGGACTTGGGGGGTGACAGCAGCTGCGGGGGGGCAGCCAGGGGCTTCTCCTCCCCAGCCCCCCGCACGCCGGCGCTGATCTTGGAGACCTCGGCGTCCTCCGGCTGCTTGGGCTCAGGGCAGGGGGGCTCCTCCTCCTCTGGCTTGGGGGGCGCGGCGACAGCCGGGCTCCAGGGTGGGCGCAGCAGCCGCAGGCCAGAGCGCGGCACCCACACCGTGTCCTTGCGGGGGGCCGAGCTGGGGCCGGCGAGACGCACCTTGTAGGAGGCCGGCTTCAGGCTCACCTCCAGCACGGTGCCCTCGTAGTAGGCCGTCTCCTCGGGGGCCACGCTGACGCAGACACGGGCCCCCACTGCCACAGCGCCCGCAGGGGGCGTGGTGTCCAGGACCACGTCCAGGTCCCCCGAGCCCAGCGCTCCCTCGTAGTACGTGATGGCCCGGTCGCCGGCGAACTGAAGTCCCAGGTCCTGGCCACGCCGGACGTGCTTGACCACGGCCGGCTGGAAGATGCCCTGGCGCCGGGCCAGGACCCGCTGCGAGCGCAGCAGCCGCAGGTCGTAATCGCTGGGGCCGGGGGCCGGGCCCCACAACTCCCCCCCGGCTCCCTTGGCGTCCTCGTCGGCCGAGTGCTCGCTGGCCGTGTCGGTGCTGGAGGAGGGGCAGTGCCCGGCGCCCTCCTCGCCAGGCGCCCCGGAGCCCTCGGACCCGCTCCACTCCTCCCCGGCCGCCGGGTTCTTGCGGGGGGCTCGGGATTTGAAGGTGGCCGTCTTGCGGCTCAGAGGGGGCTCCCCTGGGGGGTCCTCGCACCCTGGCTCCCCCTCTGGCGGCTCGTAGGGGTCCATCTTCACTGGCATGAGATGGGGGCTTGGCAAGGGCGGGGGCTGGGCAGGGCTTTCCTCCCCGCCTCCCCCGCCCCCCTCCTCCTCCCCTGCCGGCTTGGGCCCTCCCTCAGCCGTCCTGCGCTTCTGGGTCTTGGCCCGGGTGGAAGGGGGAGAGCGGCTGCTGCTGCTGGACGAGGAGGAAGAGGAGGAGCTGGCAGCCTTCCTCGCAGGTTTCATCTTCCAGCCTCCAGGCCGGGTGGATACACAGGACCTGGGAGGACGGGAGGGGGAGAACAGGTCAAGGGGTGAGGTCTGGACAACCCAACTCAGCTCTGCTGGGCCCCCTGAACCCCAATGCACAGGCCCCTACTAGCCCAGCCCTGCCCCCCCAGCTCTTCTGGCGCCCCTCAACCCCGACCCACAGCCCTATTAGCCCAGCCATGCCCCCCCAGCTCTTCTGGGGCCCCTCAACCCTGACCCACAGCACTACTGGCCCAGCCCGGGGCTCCCCCCACATCCCGACTGGCAGGAGGGAGTCTGTGTATAGTCCCGGGGAGCAGAGGCAGTGCTGGGACCTCCTGTCCACCCACACATGGGGAATGGGGGGGAAGTGGGCTCTTGGGGGGGCCAGTAAGCTCCTGTGTGGGAGAGGAACATCCCCTTATACATCCTGTTCAGGGCATGGGGCTAAGTTCCCCCCCACCCCATACCTGTTTGCCCCGAATCCTGGCCCGGCCCAGCCTACCCCAGGCAGGGAGAGGTTAACCAAGGTTGTGGGGGGGGGAAATCTCTGCCCATGCGCAGATCTTAAAGCCCCCCCCCCCCAGAGTGTGTAAATGCGGGTGGGATGTCCCAGCTGCAGAGATGCCCAGGGACGATCCCTGCCCCCCAATCTCAGGCAGAGCCCCAGGAGTGGCTGGAATGCCACCCCCTCCCCCACTTAGACGGAGGGACAGCGGCTGGGCCTGGCCTGGCTCCTCTGGAGTCCTGGGCCACTTGGCCTAGCAGGGCCCCTCTGGGAGGAAATGGGGCCAGAACCACCAACCCTCCCAATACCAGAGAACCCCAATCCCAACACCCCCCAGGCCAGCCCCGTCCGCCTTTTCTGCCTCGCCTCCTCATCTCCCCCAGCTCCAGCCTTCCCCCAGCCCCAACATTGACAGCCCAGCCCCCTAGGACATCCTGACATCCCCCTTGCCCTGGACCCCATTTCCCCTAGTTCGTCAGGCCCAGAGAACCCCCTTCACCCCCAGCTCCCCCCAGACACACATGCTGGGGTCTCCTGAGTGGTTCACCACTCTCCATCCCATAATACTATCCCAGGGGGTCCCTCTCACCCAGGAAACCCCATCCCATAATAGCAACACAACCCCCTTGCCCACCCCGCAAAAAATGGTGCAGCCCTTTCCTGCCACACTACTGAAGGTTGGTACTGCCCGGGGGAGGGGGCTCCCCTCATTTTCAGAAGGGGGGGTCAGTACCACCCAGGGGGGCTCCCCCCATTTTCAGGGGGGGT